CCTGGGGAGCATCTGGGTGGTGGATGGGTCCCAGGTATTGAACTTGTCAAGTTAGGGGGCGGAGCCTTCAGAGGGGCGGGGCCTCCATGAGATTGTGGGGCTAGCGGGCTGGGGTAGCAGGCTGGGAAGGTGATTTTGGGGCACCCACGTTGGCGTGGAGGTGTGATGCTCTGTAAGCGCCTGGGTGATGCGTCTCACATTCCCAAGGGAGGGTTTTTGAGGGAGAAATCACCGCTCCAGGTGGCTTTGAGGCCACTCTCAGGTTCCCCCACTCGGGGCTGGAGCGTGAGGACACTCATTCATTCATTCAACAAACATTTGCTGAGCTATTTACCTGGGGGCTCAGTGGATGGGTGGATGAGGAGGCGGATGAGGACGCTGCTCGCCCGCAGCTTGCAGTCTGGTAAGGGAGAGAGGCATTGAGGAGGTGGATTGTGTAGAGTTCCAGAAAGGAAATAAAGACGGAGTGGGGGTGGGAGAGCTAAATTTAGACGAGAGCAGTCAGCTGTGTGCCGGCTGATATTTACACCCGGGCCCGCGAGATAAGCAGGGGCAGGTGGCAGCCGATATTCCTCGGCGGTCTGGGATTTTTCAGGGTAGCTGGAGCCACGGAGCGTTTTGAGTGGGAAAATGACTTGATCTGATTTCCATTGTCAAAAGGTCACTCGGGCTGCTGGCGAGATGGGCTGCCAGGAGCGGGCCCAGCACTGAGGCCCTTTCAGGAGCCTTTCTCAGTCACGGCCGGACCTGGCTGCGTTTAACTGGAGGGGCGGAGAGACATGGCCGGCTCATGGTCTGGCCGGGAGGGGAAGTCTTGATGGGGCTAGAGCAGGACCTAGAATGCAGGGGGTACAAAGGAGATGAGGTTTTACATAAGTGGGGCGTGTTGGGGAGGCCTTGGGCAGGGTCCACAGGCTCCTCTCTTCTCCTCCACCCCCACCCCAGGTCCTGGTGCCCGATGACAGCAGCCCCGCCACGCCCCCGCCTGACCTCATTGAGATCCAGGTGGTGAAGGTGACCGACACCACCCTGGTCCCCGAGCCCCCGGAGCCAGGCTCTCTTCACTGTGCCTTGTGCCCGGCTGCCTTCCGTCTGGTCTCCGAGGTCAACCACTGAGCCACGCTGGCCAGGTGTGATAATAAATTTTAATTCAGTGAGTATTCTTATGTAAGGACTATAAGGCCAGATATAAAATAGTAATTAAAGATCTTCCAGGGGATCACTTTCTCTTTAGAGTTTTGTCTTGGGTTAAATGTCATTCTATAAATTATTTTGAATTACCGGGAAGCAAGATTCCTAATGTAATGTGTCAACTATCTCTGGGGATTATCTGGGAATAGAATTAGGGACCTTTATTATGTGCTAAAAGGGTTTCTTGGGAGGTTAATTAGGGAGGAGAAAACCATCTAGTCTCTCTTCCTCTTTTTGAATTCTCAAACACTAATAAAAATAAACATTTAAGAAATTGAGTATATTCTAGAAAAAAAACTCAAATGTTTAGCCGAGGGGCCGGGGAGTGGGTGTGGGGCGGGAAACGCTCGGGAAGAGGGGCGTGGGGAGACAGCGACCATGAAGGTGAAGGTCGACCAGTAGGCTGGTCACCATGGGTGGTAGGCGGCAGGTTGCAGGGGAGGGGTCGGGCGGGACAAGGGGGCTGCTGACAGAAGAGGGGAGGTTGGGGGAGAGCAAGAGGGACAGCCACATTCCGGGCTCCCACAAGCCCACGGGGCAGCTCAGAGTCAGAGGAAGGCACCAACGGAGCCCATTGGATGTCCAGCTAAATGCAAGGAACACGGGCTGAACGTCTGTCCCGTCTGCCTGCTTGTTGTGCAAGACAGAGTCTGCATCCTACGCAGGCGGAGCCAGGGCTGAGGGGATGGGCAGGTCCGGGGTCTATCCCAGTGTCCCTGGCCAGCCCTTCGTCGCTGAACCCTCAACTGTCTTGGGGCCTAGGGTCGACCAGGATGGAATCCTTTGCCTACCTCACTGGTTGCACTGAACAAGGGAGACGCCTGTCGGGTCCTCCAGAGAGACTGGAATCCCATCACCTCAAGCCAGGGGGCCCCCAAGTCATTGACTAGAGCACTTGAACCTCCAGAATTCAGCCTGATCGACCATGAGGATCTCGACTCCAAGAGCTGCTGTCCCTGTCCCCATGGGGACGTCCCCCCTTAACCCACCAGACTCCTC